TTAATGGTATAACAATTACGATAGTGTAGTATTGACCCAAAGGATTGTAATTGGTCAGTGTGGCAGAGTAAAGAACCCAGAAATAGACATATACATGTGGTATATGAGAGAAATCGTGTTACTGAGAAGTGGGAAATAATGGGCTTCTAAAAATTAGCCTAGCAAAATTAAGCATGAATGTAAAGAAAACAGCAATTCTATTTGGAATGTAAACCTGAGGTTGAAGGTAAATAACAAACAAAATGTTTTAAGGGACAACACAAAGTATATTTTGTCCCTTTAGTATAAGGAAATATTTGTCAATAAATACATTTAATAGGTTATAATAAAAAGAAAAATTAAAAAAATATCAATTTTGTTAAGACTAAGATAGGTGATTTATCAAATAATACCATAGGAAGTTAGAAAACAAACATTTTCAGTGAGAAGGTATTTGAAACACATTATGATTGACAAAGAATCTATGTCTAAATAATGTAAAGACATCCAAGAAGGGCTAATCTGTAATAAAAGAACAAAGATATCAGATTCTCTACAATGAGATATCATTTTATACCCAGTATATTGACAATGAAGTGTGATTATGCCAAATTTAACAGAATCTCTGAACAAGGCATCTTTTTCAGTAGACAGGTTTTCTGAGGAGATACCATTAGCTCGGTGTGGGTAGAGGGTGGAGCACTTATCTGAATGCAAAGAAGTAACACTGAAGAACAGCAGTTTGGGCCAAAATTTGCATGCTCATGAATCCCATTAGATTGTATCCAAGTGCAATTAACAGTAGCTCAACTAAGTTAAGAAAAAAGTGTCATGTCAGATATATGCTTTATGGAGGCAATAGGAGGTAACTAAAAGGACAAATGGGAAAAGAGCAAGAGGAGGCAACTGTGAACATCATACAAAAATGGAGAAAATAATTGTTAGTATAAAAGCAATATTTCTTTAAATTTAAAGCCTTGGAATAATTATAAGTATTTTATAACTAATTATAAAATGATATCATTATGTAACAGAGGTAATGAAAATCCCTGAAGCAGTTTTTAATCATAATCTTGTTTTCTGAAAATAAATTATTGAATTAGAGCCATGTTACTAATTTAAGAATTTTTAATTAATGACTTATGGCCTAAAGGATTTTTTATACTAGTATAAAATAAACCAATTGTGTAATTAGTAAGAATTTAATGATTCAAGTGATAATTTTCCAAATTATTTCATTTTATAGGTTTTCTAAGCCATTATGCTTTACATTAATTTTTTACCTTATTTTGAAATTATAAACCATCTGCTTTTAACTATGAATCATTATAAAATAAACCAACCCTCCAGATAGACCTTATGAATATGAAAATAATATATAAATTGACTCTTTTTGTTTTCATTAATTATAAAATTTGGTAGAGTTATGTTCTATATTTAATTTTAATCTGCTTTTACATGTTATAACCATCTCTTTTAATTATAAGGTTTTTGTAATGTATTAGAGTCTGTATGAATAAGGCAAAAAAAGCAAACTAAGAAGGACTTTATCTTCATAAGTTGATTTTTAAAATTTTACCATGTTAAACATTTCACTCATTTTGGTTTAGTCCTTATGCCTTCTTGTTGGATAGTTGCAAGATAACTGTTTTTTTTTAGATAAATCGCATTTTCACTGGGCATGGATAAGGCTAAGGAGGAACAAAGGGCACTCCTGATGCAATTCTTGTCTTCTTGTATCAGTAGACTCCAGAAAACAGACTGATGGAGTTTTCAAATACAGATGAAGATGAGAGGAGTTTTTCATAGAAATTGGCTCATGTAGTTACCAAGGCTAAGAAGTCCCATAATTCTGCCACCAGCAAGATGGAAAACAAAGAAAGCCTGTGTCATAATTCAGTCCAAGAACAAAGGATTGAGAGGACCTGAGGAGAGGTTAGAGGAAATGGGATAAATGCAGATCTGGGTCTGGATGCCAAAGAATCACGAGCCAATTTCCAATACTATGGGCAACAGAAGATGCAGGTCTCAGGTCTAGCAAACAGAACAAATTTGCTCCTCCTCAACATTTTTGTTTTGTTTACTATACAAACTGTATAATTCACAAACACACTGGGGAGAGCCATCTCATTACAAGTTCACTACTTCAAATATTGATCTCCTCCAGAAACATCCTCACTGATATATCAAGAGATAATGTTTTAACACATATCTGGACATCTCTTAACTCAGTCAAGTTAGCACATAAAATTAAGTTTCAAACTTCATTAGGAAGTAAAATATTTTCTAAAATACCTGAACCATAATTTATGTGTCTTTGGGAAGTACTTATTTCTATACATATTCGAAGAACAAAATATAGGACTACCATGATTGCCTCAGGCAATTCATAACTTGTTCTTCAGAACTACTCACTTTGTTTCTCTGGAAAAATAAGGGGTTTTGAGAGCATAGAATAATATCATTTTGATTAAAAAGATGAATATGTCATAGAAATGATATTGACTTATGGAAAGGAAAGAGAATAATATTTGCTGATAGCCTCTCTCTGTCAATTATGATCTTATAAGACTTTTATAGGTTAGAGGAAAGGAAGAATGTCAATCTGATATTTAAAAAATAATATTCCTGCTATATTTTTGTTTACTTGTCTTTAGATGTTAACATCTTTAATATCTTTTAATGTTTAAATGTCAATTAAACATTTGTTAGTTGTTTTAGAGTATATAGATATTTGAAGAATATGAATGTAGATACATAAAAAGTATACAAAAATAAAAAATATACAAAATATGTACAAGAAAATGTACATAGAAAAAATGCACATCTGTTGGTGGACTAGAGCATTGAAGATCTAAATTTTAGTACAAACAAATACAGTTCTATAATGAAAAATAATATTTGAAAATACTAGTGTGAACTTAGATGAAACATGCAGTATTGAAAGCTTTTTTGTGTGACATACTTATTTCCTTTCTGCTCCTGAGGTTCAGAGAGAGTTTATTCTCTTTCATTCAACTCATTTAAAAGTACACTATATTCAAAGGTCTATAGCTATCCCTTTTATATTCTATCCTCCTTTCTTTACACTATTCTGATACATTTTATTTTATTTCTAAGATTACTCTGTTCTATTTGCCTGTACATCTCTATTACCATATGTACGCACTTTCCTTATTAAAAACCTCTGAACAATGTCTAAATATGTCATACATGCACAGTTGTTGTATGTGTGTTTTATCATTTATGGACATGATATAAAATGAGTCCTATTATTTTCTTCCTGTTTCATTCTCAAAACTTTTGAGGTCCATCTTTCTTCTTTTACATGTTTCTAAGTTGTTGCTCCTTACCTCTCACTATTCCACTTGTCATATTTTACTTGGGCATTTTCCATGTATAATTTGTCCTGAAACCTGTGTTACTTTTTGTTGTAAAGAAAGCACAGGTTATTTTAATGGACAATACTCATGAGTGAGATTAGTTTGTATATCAAACAGTATATGTGGATAGACCACTGTAGGGGAGGTTCAGATTTAATACTTGAAGATCAATATTAGTAAAAGCTTGGAAGGGTGTATAGACAATATAAGAAAGACTGCTGCTTGCTCTCATTCCTTCCTGCTTCCATGAAATCAAAAAGGTAACAATCTGAAGGGAAGTACCTCCAACATTCATGGGAAGAATGGTCACCCACAAGAAAAACAAACAAACAAAAATAAAAAATCCCTCAGATTTGCTAAGACCCAATACCATTGCCTGTTGCCATCTTAGTGTCCATCTGCCTTCAAAACCACATGGGACTTTCTGTTGCAAGATAGAGAATGGCAATACAATTTGCAAAATGTATTTCCATACTTCCTTCTGATACAGAGAAAAATGCACAAATAGTGGACATTATAGTTTCTAAAACATTGTCTAGCAAATCAGACTTTGGTATAGAGAATGGAGGTATATCCTGGCTTATTGAATCGTACAAATGGTTTGTCATTATATACACTTATCATATTTTTTCCTAAAATCCATCTCCTTTTGTTACTACAATTAACTGAAAATGATACATATTTCTACCATTAATTGTAGAGATCTTACAATTACTTTTGACCTTGATTTATTTTCTAATAAAGTAGGTTATCTCTTCATTCCTTTGTTAGCCTTTCAGGCATATGCTTCTGTTAACTGCTCATTAATATCCCTTGACCTCCCTGTACTTTCTTAATTACTTAATTTAGATGGTTTTTAGCATTTTCCAGTATTCATCTCTTTGTCATTTAGTGGCATAAATATCTTCACCCAGTCACAATTTACTCAACATGAATTAACTTGTATTGAATAGAAACAATTTTTAATTGGGGGACAATAATTTCAATATGTTTATAAAAATATTTTATAGCCTTTGATAAAGAATTATCCACATTTTCTTCCATGAGCTTGTTACAGCTATGTTTACCTGTAAGAAGCTTTCATTAATGTGTGACTTAATACTATAAATTTGAATAAAACACAAATAAAAGTTGACTCCCTTATTTTTTCCAATAATAATATGATTATTTTATGTAATTTGATTTTTGAATGCCATTTATAGTATGAGGGTAAATTTTTATTGTTTCCTGAAAGTTTTAATCTTTGTTTACAAATTTACTTAGTTTAACCTTTTTGATTTTCTACTATATTAATGGGATTACCAAGATTTGGGTTTCATCCTATGTATGTCTGTTATATTTTGCTGATTGATATATCTGCTTATTCATCTAGAAGTGGATCTTCAGAAGTATATGTGTCTTAGAACTGAGGGTTATTTATAGAATTCTACATGTTCCTTTCTTTGTTATTTATTGAAAAGGGAAATATCTATACAACTTCTTTTTATTTTAATCCAGGTGCATACAGTGGTTGCATTTCTGTAACCTCAGATACTCTGAAAGTTTAGGCAGAAAGATTATGAATTGGAAGCCAGCAGGGGAACATAGCTAGATTCTATATTCACAAAACAAAAACAACTCAAATACAGTGTCACACACCTGTAATTCCAGCAACTCCAGAGGCTGAGGAAAGAGAATCTCAAGTTTGAGGACAGCCTGGGCAACTTAGCAGAAGACCCTGTATCAAAATAAAAATAACAAATGGCTAGGGATGTACTCAGTGTTAAAGCATCTGTAGGTTCAATCCTCAATATTAAAAAAAAAAAGGTGCTTGGAAAACTGGATACCATATGCAAATGAATGAACCTAGATTCCTATCTTATCATGCACAAAAGTCAAATCAAAGTGGATCAGATTTAGAAAATTTTATAACTGCCAGAAAAATATGTAGGTTGAACACTCCAACATATTGTTGCAGGTCTGAATTACTTAACAAGGCCTCTAAAGCTCAAGAAATAAAACCAATAATCAATAGGTGGGATAGCATTAAATTAAAACATCTTCTGCACAGCAAATGAGAAATATTAAGAAAGCAAAGAAGAGTCCTGCAGAATGGAAGAAAAATTTTGCTAGTTACTCCTATGACAGGGAATTAATATCCAGGATGTGTAAAGAAATAAAAAAAAAACTTAATACCAAAAAAACACATAACCCAATTAATAAGTAAGCAAAAGATCTAAACAAGTAATTTCTCAGAAGAAATAACCAACTGTCAATAAATATATGAAAAATATTCAATATCTCTGGCAATTAGAAAAATTCAAATAAAAACTACAATGAGATTTTTATCTCACTCTAATTACAATGGCAATCCCCAAGACTACAAGTAGTAAATGCTGATGAGGATGTAGAGGAAAGGTATACTCATACATTGTTGGTGAGACTGCAAATTAGTACATTCACTCTGCAAAGCAGTATGGAAATTCTTAAAACAATAGGAATGGAGCCACCCTGTGATCCAGCTCTTCCTCTTTTTGGTATTTATCCAAAAGAACTAACATCATCATATTATACTGATATAGCACATTAGTGTTATAGCAGTGCAATTCATAGCGGTCAAGCTGTGGAACCACCCCACGTGCCAATCAACAAATCAATGGAATAAGAAAATGTGATATATGTACACAATGGAGTTTTAATCAATCATGAAAAAGAATGAAACTCTGGCACTTGCAGGTAAGTGGATGGAAATAGAGAACATGGTTTTAAGTGAAACAGCCAGACTCTGAAAATCAAGAGTCAAATATTTTCTCTCAAATGCAAAAGCCAGGAAAAAGTAAGTGGGGGGAAAAGACGATGTGTGTTGGATCTCATGAGGATTGAGGAAACATCAGTGGAATAGAGTAAGGAAGTTGAGTGGAAAGGAGAAGGGACAGGAAAGTAGAGGAAATGTGGAATGAATTTGACAAAATTATTTTATGTATGAGTATAAATAAGTCAGAGTGAAATTCACTTTGATGTACACTTATAAAGCAATAATTTCAATAAATGAGTGAATAAAAAAAAATAAAAGGAAGACCAGCACAGTGAAGGATGTGGAATAGGGAGAGGGAGGAGGGGAAGGAAAGAGGCAGCACTGAGAATGAGATGGAGCAAATTAACCCCTGTGCATGTTGGATGATGACACTGTGAACCCAACTATTAGTGAAATAATAATATATCAATAAAATAATTGTTAAATAAGAATTTTAGAAGAGTTTTAAATTCAGCAAACATAAAATAAGAAAAAAGTTTCAATAAAATATCAATGAGTGAATAAAATACAAAGAAAAACTGAGATGAAACCTTAGAGTAGTTTTGATTTGCCTTTCTCTAATTGCTAGAGATATTGAATGTTTTTTCATATATTTGTTGATTGATTCTATATCATCTTCTGAGAAATATCTATTTAGTTGCTTGGCCCATTTATTGACTGTTTTTTTGTTGTTGTTTGTTTGTTTGGTGCCAAGATTTCATCTCACTCCAGTCAGAATAGCAGCTATTAAGAATACAAACGACAATAAGTGTTGGTGAGGATGTGGAGGGAAGAGACACATACATTGCTGGTGGGACTGCAGCCCAAATTGGTGCAGCCAATATGGAAAGCAGTATGGAGATTCCTTGGAAACTAGGAACGGAACCACCATTTGACCCAGCTATCCCACTCCTCCGCCTATGCCCAAAGGACTTAAAAACAGCATACTACAGGGACACAGCCATATCAATGTTTATAGCATCACAATTCACAATAGCTAATCTGTGGAGCCAACCTAGATCCTATGAGTTTATGAATGGATGAAGAAAATGTGGTATATAGATACAATGGAATACTATTCAGCATTAAAAGAGAATAAAATCATGTCATTTGCAGGTAAATGGATGGAGTTGGAGAATATAATGCTAAGTGAATTGAGCCAATCCCCAAAACCCAAAGGTTGAATGTTTTCTCTGATATTAGGATGCTAATTTATAATGGGGGTTGCAGGGGCCAGGGAAGGGGGAGGTACTAAGGGAGGATTAGATAAAGCAAAAGAGAGGGAGGAGAAGGGAGGGGGCATGGGAGTAGGAAAGACAGTGGCATGAGATGGACATCATTACCCTAACTACATGTATGAAGACACAAATGGTGAGACTCTACTTTGTGTACAACCAGAGATATGAAAAACTGTGTTCTGTATCTGTAATATGAATTGAAATGCATTTTGCTGTATTATAAAACAAATTAGAATAAAAAGCCCGCACAGTGTCAGCAAGAAAAAATACAAATAAAAACAAATTAACTTTTTTTGCTGCAAGAGATTAACTTTCTGATGGAGGCATGAGCTAAAAGTACTCTTGCACTAAGTGGAAATAAATTGAGATGCCATGTTCTACCTTGGTAGTGCCATCAGAACCCCTCTGTATTCCACACACTTTCATAAACACCACATCTTGGGACTGGATGAGCCTCTTAGCTTTCCTTTCTTTCTTTTTAAATAGTACTTGCATTTTTTTTCTTGTACATTAATAATCTTTCAAAATAAGAATGAATCCAAAGTAAAAATATTCCTATAAAAAAAAAGAATTGAAGCCATTGCCATGTATTGTTCCAGGAAGAGAACTCAAGGTAAAGTATCTTCATGTGTTTCACATTTTGGAACAAAAATTTTTAAGTATTGATGGACTTTTATCTCCACCCCACCCACTAGAAAATATTTTCCCCTGCCTGCTCAGTTCTTTGCTACTCTATTATTGGTTATGGGTGTGAAGTGGAACAGGTAGAGTTGAGGATTCTATAATGAGTCTCATGATAAGGGCAGAGTTGTGATAGGAGAAAGAAGAAAATAATGGAAAGATAAAAAAAGGAGAAAGCAAAAACAAATAGGATCATATGTGGTTTTTGGTTGAAAATACAGTGGACTGAATTCAAGGGAACCTAAGCACTGAGCCACATCTTCAGCCCTATTTTATATATATATTTAGAGACAGGTTCTCACAGAGTTGCTTAGCATCTTGCTTTTGCTGAGGCTGACTTTGAACTTGTGATCCTTCTGTCTCAGCCTCCTGGGCCACTGAGATTACAGGCATGTGCCACTGATCCCAGCTGAAATGCCACTCTGACAGCTACTTTGGGGCTTAAGAAATATTGAGCACTTGTGAACAAAGGCAAGAAGAAAGAACTAGAAAAAACCTAGATATTAAAAATGTCCCTGTCTCAAGAGGAGATTTGCTACTATAATGCTTTACAGAATCTTACACACATAAACTGTATTTCAATTTGCTAAGCAACTCTGGTGATTATTTAATTATAACTATACTTAAGACTTGGTTGAGAGTAGCTCAAATATGTGTAGGTTCATTTGATTCATTTTACCCTTTAGAATAAAAATATCTAGAAAGTAAATGTTCTATTATGCCCTATTCCCTTGGCTTATTAAGATGTGCGTGCCTGTGTTTATGTTTTACTTTAGAATACATGCAGTTTTACTGATAATGTCCCTACTGATCATTCTATGTTATGTGCTGAAGTACATTTTGAGTAAGTCATGGAAAAGGACTTTTGAAAATGATAGCTCAAAAAGATTGCCACCAGAGCTTTATAATCCTATAGCTTATCCAAATGCTTCCTCTACCATGAACATATATTAGCTACTTAAATGGAGGTAAGTGACAAATTAAATCTAGATATGCAAATATGTATGGAGAAAGGAATATCTTTCAAGCCTTATAGTCCAATTAGCTAAAATATTATATTTTATGAAATGTATACTCTCCAAATTAGTGGTTTCTAGAAGGTTATCCTGGGAATCTGGTATTCTATTGATTTTTTTCAGAGGGTTAAAGAACTTAAATATTATTCACAACAAAGCTAAGATTTTACTTAGATTTTTTTTGCTTTCTGTTCTCTTATGAATGTAGAGTGGAGTTTTTCAGTGTCTACTTCCCATTAGTCATCAACAAGTGCAGTGGTATATACAAGAAATCATTCATACTCTTTAAGGCAAATAACCACAAAACAATGTTATTCTTTTCATTATGTTTGTTATAAAAGTAAAGTTATTTTATTACTAAAATATGTTTCTGCTAGCATACAATGGTTCATTATTTCTTTTTATAATAATTAATAAATAACTAGTAGTTTTTTTGGTTTTAATTTCTTATATGGTCAATATTGATAACACAATCAATAAAATATCTTTGAAAATATTAATATATTTTTTAAGTGCAAACGTGTCTGGATTCTATAAAATTTGAGATCCTTAGTGTTAAAATCTGTTAGAATAAGCTTATTTTCAGAATATAAAATCTATTCATTATTTATTTATTTATTTGGGGGTTCCATATATATCATTACTATAGAACTAAAAATGGGAGAATTGGGAATTGTGGTTCAATGGGAGTGCTTGTGTAGCACATGGGAAATTATGGGTTAGATTCCCCAACTGCAATAAATAAATAAATAAATAAAAGAATGAAGAATGATCCTCAGAGCAAGATGGCAACTGAGTAAGATCCGCTCTGTATTGTCACACCAAGTTGAACAGATATTCAGGCACCAGACACCTTTCACAAAAGCTTAAGAGGTCAGGTGAGAAACCATAATTCCTGCTTTCAGTTTGCCCAACAAAATGAAGATTATTTAAGAGGGCAGGAATGAAAGAGTTGTTCAAACTTCAAGCAGCCTAGGTGAAAGGAACGCCTCCTTGTTGGGAAGAAAGA